CCCCCCCCAGCAGCACACCAGATCCAAAGGTGAGCAGCTCGCGCTTGCTTGCTTGCTTGCTTCCTTGCTTGCTTGCTTGCTTCCTTGTTTGGTTTCGTCTCTGCAACGCAAACAAGAGGAAAAGCAAACGCAAAAAGAGAAAGGAGAACAGCTGCCAGAAAGACAGAAAGAAAGAAAGAAAGAAAGATAGATAGATAGATATAGACAGATAGATGGATAGGCCAAACAGCCAAAAGCCACAAAAGCCACAAAAGCCAAAAGCCACAGAAGCCACAAAAGCCACGAAAGCCAAAAGCCACAGAAGCCACGAAAGCCAAAAGCCACAAAAGCCAGAAGCCACAGAAGCCAGAAGCCAGAAGCCACGAAAAAAACAAAATCCAAAAAAGGAAACAAAAAGAATCCAAAATTAAATGGCCCTCCAAAGAATAAAGAACGGGCGGGATATAAGCAGCAGCTCAAAAGGCTTTAACGCACACAGTTTGGCTTAGGAAAGAGTTTATATTTGGATCTGATGCCCTACTGTCTATTGTTCATTGCAAGTCCACTCTTCCTGTTGTGATTTTCTGCACCTAAAGGCTACACGGCTACACAAAAATACAACAGCAGCCTAGAATAGAAGAAAGTAAGGCGAGGAAGATGCACACTTTCCTGATTGGCTACCCCAAAAGACTTGAGGGTCGTACTTAAAATGCAACAGCCAAATAGAACAGAAGCAAGTATGGCGAGAAAGACAGAGAGACTTGTTGACGTGTCAGGTAAATTAGATCCGTTGTCTTCCTCAACTCTCGCCGAGACTGCTCTACTAAATACTATTCTGACCTGCCCCGCTCTTTCAAAGGACGATGGAACAAGACAAAAACGTTGGAGGAGGGTATGGTAGACAACTCTATATCTACCTTTCTTCACTTCCCTACTGCATTGACACTCTACTCTAAGCCATCTTACTTTGGATCTTACTTGGTGGTTGTCAGTTCACATCTGAGGTGCAGCTTCCACTTATGTTTGGATGAATCAACTAGAGTGGTAGGACAAAGAAGAGTAGAGTAGGGTAGGGTAGGCTAGGGTAGAGCAGAGGAGGGAGAGCAGAGCAGAGTAAAAAGAGAAGGGTACAGTGGGTCATTGTAGGGCAAAGCAATTGCAGCCTGAAGCCTTCAGTATGGAAAATAAAAAAAAGTGCTGAGAGTTGTATATTGTCAAAGTTGATTGTAAAGAGTATGAAGCATGAAGGGCTAAGCCAAAAGTTAGTAGTTTTATATTCAATACATGTTCAAGTAGAGAGCAGGGCCTAGGGTAAAGGGCAGAATGTGTAGGGTGGACAGCAGGACGCACATTTGCTCACAAAGCTTTAGCGTGTGTAAGGTACGGAGCTTTGGAAGAGTTTACATATTGGACAATATTAAGGCTATTTAGGTTTGATGATGTCCTACTCTCTACTTTCAATTCCTTGCCTACTAGCCACTTCACCACTCAGCCTGCAAGCTCAACTTGTGCCAGCTCCTGCGCGCTACTCTCTCCTAAAATTTCTCACGGTTCTTTCAACAATGGAGTATGGGACGAGCATCGTCATTAAAGAAAGCGATGTGAACTCTATTGGTGTGGAGCAGGGTGAAGTTTTGAGAATAGTTATGAGATAGATATGAGGGAGGACGAAATGAAGAAGGTCTGTGTCCGAGTGACTGTATTTGGAGTGAGTGAGAGGAAGGGATTTGAGAGGAATGATAGACACCCGCTCTATGAGCTAGGGCGAAAAACAATAATATTGAATGCAAAATGTGTGTCTTTGTCCGTGTCCGTATGTTGTGTGAGTGTACAGTGTGCAATTAAGCATGTGTTTTGTATGGCAACCGGCTACCATAATTGTGTGTATGGCCAACGACCAAGTTCAACCGACGAACGAAATGATCCCAAAAGGTCCCTGGGTCATATATATATATATATATACAGATGTGTCGGAGAGGCATTTTCGTTTGGGAACGAAAATGCATAGTCTGCATCGTGAGGTGTGTCTGGGAGAGGAGTGGGAGTGGAAGAAAACAATGAAAATACACATGCATCACCAGGACCATGAAAGGAAAAAGATAACTCCGTTCAACAGTGTATGTCTTATATAATACATGTTTCATGATTGCACCATGTGCATCAAATCATCGTAATGGCATAGCTCATTGTACAAAATATCTCTGCATTCAATGCACATTGTATTTTGCTACTGCTTTCAGCATATAGAGTTATTATTGTTCCAAATTAAGTATGTATGGATGTATGGAGGTATTGTTAATTTCTAGTTTGGTTTCTGAAAAACGTAAAAATGAAAATAGCATCGATATTGAAAAATACACCGTTTCCAAAAAGGGAATTATAATGTTAGCTATAAACAACTGCGGGCCCCTCAAAAATGTACCATTTCGAGGGGTTTGACAAATAGGATGATTCAGCGCTAGCAATTCCGAATTAGATATCCATGTGGAGGCTCATTGTAGAAAATCCTTTGCTTTCAATACAACCCCTATTGTATTTTGCCACGCTTTCACAATACAAAAGTGTCTTCACGGATCCAAAAATATGTCCATATGGAGGTATTATTGAATTGAAGTGTAAAAATTGATATATATATATATATATTTGATGAACTTCAATCAACGTGAATTCAGCAGCTGCTACATTTTTCTCCGAACCGGCTCAAGGTCTGTACTGTCAGTACTTTAAGTGCTTTGGTTTGAAAAGCGACCCGCGTCGCGTGTGTCATCTGACATCTGACACTCTCCCCGTGCGAGCACTCCATCCTGTCTGGTTCTGGGCCTGTAGACACTTTCCCACTAAGGACCTGCACTGGGCCAGCACGGCAAGAGGAAGCCTGCGTCAACCTTTAGCCCCTGCCCGGTCCGACTGCAGAGCAGCCGCGTAAGATGGAGGAAGCAAGAGCAGAGGCCGCCTCAATGCCATGCTCAGCGTACCAGCGGTCCAAATAGTCCTGCTCAGCTGCACACCGCGCCTTCAAGTTGTAAAGCGACATTGCAGCAAAGGATGAAATCATTGCACGAAGGTGCCGGACGCGACGACAAAGTAGGCGAGGTAGTCGGCCGATGAGGTGTGGCCTCCCCATAGGACATGAAGTAGAAGGCCAAGTCCGATACCATTTCGATGCCATGGGCGGCGCGCCACGTGGCTAGCTTGGCTTGTCCCACAGCCAAGCGTGCGTGGACAGCGGCCATCGACATGGCAGCAATGGAAAACCAAAAAACTTTTATCTTGAGGTGTCTGCAGTGGCACTGCACCTCAAGGGAGTCTCCCAGTTTTGGCTTGAGCAGCCAAGCAACGTGGGAGACATTGACTTGAAGCTTCACAAATATTTCCTCATCACCGACCCTGCCTACCTTGAATGAATGAATATATAATGTGGACCCCCTGAAACATGTACAGTTAAGTGGTCGAAAAATAGAATATAAATAACTGCGACCTGAAAATGTACAAAATATTTTTTCAACCCCCTCGAAATTGTGCGTGTTTCATGGAGTCCACCTTGTAACCATATTTACATGTTTATCATTGTTCATTTCAACAACACCTCCATATGGATATCATTTGATACGCAAAAAACTTATATACTCTAAAACCAGTAATAAAGAAAGTCTATTGTACATAATCCCTCTATTTTTGGACCCCCTTGGAAATGTACAATTTCAAGGGGTCAAAAAATAGATCCAACAATGCTTGCAAAATGCAAGTAAGACAGTAAGACATAACTAAACAATATATCAAAGGGTCCAAAAACCAGTGATTATAGATACTTCTGAGGGTGCAGGCGGCTGTTGCGAAGCGACCTGAATACCTATTTGCTGTCCAGGTTGCTGGGTGCTGACTTCGGAATTGCTTCTATTCCAACCTCCTCTTCCTCCAACGCAAGGATTTGTTGATGCAGTTCACTGACTAGACTGACTAGGTCTGTCTAAGGATCTTGGGTGAGGATCCAGATACCTCCCGGAGACCTGAGACAAAAAGTAAGTTTCCAAAAAAAACATAGTTAGGAAACAAATGAATAGTGCGAGCGCTTCTTCGAGGAAGCTTGAAGAAGCGTGAGCTATCCTGCGTCCTAGCTAGGAGCGAATTTCTCCCTTACTTCATTAAGTAGGAGCGGGCCAAGAAAGACATTTGAGACCTGAGACCTCCCCACTCCTTTGTCCAATTCTTCAATCACGTATCGACGCGCCTCAGGTCGTGTGTGTCCTCGGGTGCCGGAAGATGCGGTCCGTCGTGGTCCGGAAGACGCCGGACCACGAATACGCCCGGTATGGAGTGGTTTCGGAGGTTGGGAGGAGGAGCTCGCATCAGCATCAAGAGCTTACAATAGCTTGCACACGTTTGGCTCTTGTTGACTGTTCAAAAGAAGAAGAACGCACGAGGGATGACTGACTGAGTCATTTGAAACTTGTGGATCTATGATATATAAGCCATGCGCTGGCGTGTTTAGGCTGTCGGAGACACAAAGTCACCAAGGTAAGAACAAACCTCCTTGATGTGAATGGATCCCATTGTCCGAGTTGCTGGAGGCCGCCTGTGCAATAGCTGTAGCTACTTCTAACTCCTCGCGAAAACCAGGGGTGCAGCATCTTGACATACGTGGATTGTGTAAATTCCAGTGAAAACATATCATATCAATGTCACTTGCTGTCCCAAATATTCCCAGTTTCTGCCCGCAGAACTGCTGGCTCCTGGAGTTGGGCTTCCTGCCGTGCGTCCGCCTGGGCTCACTTGCCCCAAGATACCAAGAACTGCTGGAGAAAGCTCCAACAAAGGCAACTGTCGTTTGTGCAGTCGAGGCACCCAAGCATGCAAGGCCTTGATCTCCCTTGACAGCTGTGCATTCTCCTGTTCAAACTTCGAAATGCCTTAGCAATGGAAAGCACCAAAAAAACACACCGTAGGACAATCATCTGCTGTGTTTGTCGCCCAGCGACGTGCGTCCAAGGCATCAGTTCCCTTCCTCAACTCCTCCAAACCTCGCTCTGTTGGTCAACCCCCAAAGTGACGCTTCGATCACTTACCACGAAATGCAACGCCGAACTGCATCAAAGAGCTGCATCGAAGGCTTGACATGAATGACAAATCTCGCGCCAAGAGCGGCTCCCGCCTTCCTTGGCAGTTGCGTTCGGAACTTCTTCAAGGGAGTCCACACTCCGCACAAGATCTTCCACTGCCACCTGAGGTAGCAACATGTGTGTGTGTGTGGGTGGTGCAAAGAGCGTCAACCAGCCACTGCCAGTCACAAGCAAATTTCTGCCCTCCTCCCCCTGTTCCAAAGCCAAGGCACAAAAAGGTGTGTGACTTGATCCTCAACCTGCTTCTTCTGTGCCTCTTGGTCTTCCCGGTGATTCTGCCGTACCTGTGTGAAACACATTGGAAATCATCAAGAAAAGAGCGTGACTCACACCTGATCAAGCAAGTCGCTGGCCTTCAGTGCCTTCACTTCGGCCATCAAACCATCTATCTCAGCTTCAAGAGCTTCAACTTCCAGGATTTCCCGCTGGCTTGACACTCGAACTTCAACTTGTCCGACTTGTCCGACTTGACCAGTTCTGGCATCTTCCTCCTTTCCCTCGTCCATTCCCGGCTCTGGCAATTCCTGACAAGCAGCTGTTCGGGATCGTCACGGACCTCAAAAAGAAGGGTCTAGGTCGTACGTCGGAATGTTGTATGTCAAATGTAATGTGTACTTCAAAGGAGCAAGGATGCTGCTAGGGGCTCCTGGCATCGCTACTAGGAGCAAGGACGCTAAAGTAGGCTACTATGCGGCAATCAACATTTCATGTCTTGGCTCCTCCGCCTTGGAATCCTCCGGATCCATTTCCTCCTTGACATCCTGCAGCGTGGCTGCGTTCCCTGGAACCTATCTGTGCGCAGGAACTTATCTGCGACCACACCTGTCTGTCATCTTTTTGCTCACGGGATAGTGCCCGTTTTTCTCTCAGGAGCTTCCGATGCGAGGATGGTAGTAAGAACCACCTGAAGATGCCGACTCAGCTGACGCAAGAGAGGCAGAATCGGGCAGAACATGGCAGAACTGATCCATTCACTCTTGTGCCAGAGCCACTCCAAGTAGGAACGTCGGCGGGATGTATCAAAGTAAGCACACAGGTCGTTGATGTGCACCGTTTGACCCAAGGACATGAGTGTAGCCAATTGGCCTTGGGTTGGCAATGGATAGATAGTAAATAAACTTCAAATGCATAGCTCTACGGTTGGGGTTGTGTCTGAAGTTGCTTGGTTTAGAGGCACGCAAGGCACGCGCCGCACGAAAAACCGAGCTGCTACTATCAACGAGGCCTTCCTCGTACTTGGAACTGGGGCTGTGTTGAAGGTGCCTGCACAAAAGGACATCCAAAACAACAGCAACAGCGCATTCTTATTGGCCGAGTAGTCATTCGGATATCTGCATACTTGATATCCGCAACGGAAAGGATTTCGAAGACATGGCAATAGCGGCCTCAACATTCTGAAGATATGCTGGGACAATTCGTCCTTGGTTCTTGGCAAATTGTCTTCGTTACACCATGTTGCACCATCCACTCATGTTTACAAAGCTTGCTTGAGTCCCTGCATAAACAAAGTCACATGTCATCAAGCTTACTGCCTCAAGAAAGAATATGTTGAGACCATTACAATAACTTGATCTATATAGATCGTTAAAAGCCCTAAGGTTGACACTGCAATGGCATTGTGATCCTGAGACGGTGCTGCTGTCTTCAGGATGTCGCACATTTGTTCTCTTAATCTCGCTTTGGAGATGCCTCCGGACAAGCAAAGGTGAGATAAAGAAGTCGGAAGAAAGTCTCTGGAGTGGGCTACAAAAAGGCACAAAAAACAGGTTCCTACTTTGAAATACTGCACAACTGCCAAACAAAAAATGAAAAACATGGAGCTCGCACCCGCTCGCGCCCCTACCTGAAGCTTTCTGATCCAGCAGCATCAAAGCCATTGTATCCGACAGCAATCGAAGCCCAAGCTGGGCGATTCGCATGGAGACATCAAAGGTCTGGCGGACAGATTTGAGCCGGACACGATCTTCGTCTATCCTCTCCGCACTTCTCGCGATGACGTCGCCTACTAGCCACCGACAACGTTAACGTTGCAAGTTTGGAGTTTCTCATGACATGAGAGTAAATTGAGGTACTAATTTATGTTTTTCATGGAATTAGGTGGGTATCCTCCTGTTTTTGATTGCACCAACCTCATAACCTCCAAAAACAACTGGACTGCACGTTTATAGAAAAATATCGGCACGCTGCCCGTGCGGAGATTTGTTTCCAAACAGTTCAGCGAGGGTTCACCGGCAGAAAAGCACATCCAAGGACCCCGACCTCCTCTTGGGCTCGCTTGTAGATTTTGGAGAGGGAGCCCAAGCACTTTGTAGCAAACAGCACAGCCGCCATAGCAGGAAACTTCAGCAACACCTCAAGTCTGGCGTTCAGTGGGGTCATGCAAGTACCCTGGCTGAGACATGTTTTAGCTGAATTGATGAGTGCCTTGAGGAGTAGAAGCTCCGCACGAGGTCCATGAGGGGTTACGGATTTATTCATTCAAGGGTGCTGGAGTGGACATCGGAGTTCAGGTTGTGTAATTTTGCTCAGTGGCTTTCTGCGTTGTGGAATGTCACTCATTAATGCTACAAACAAACAAATTACTTCACACTTCTGGAATAGCAGGTGTTGTTCTCAACTTCCACAATTGTATCAGCGACGTCTGGAGATAAAGGTACGAAGAGCTCTTTGACGGTCGACGTCTGATTCGGTAACCAAACGGTCTGATTCAGTAACTATGATTCGGTGATAGTACATCATCCGTTGGACGGAACATGACTGGACTATGTGGACTTTTCTAACTGTGTCCATTCATTCCACCCATGTGACCAAACATGTTCTCTTCTCGGTCCCTCTGCCAACAAGGAGCAGCCAAAGAAATAAGGTTCAATGCGATGGCTGCTGCAGAAGGACACCTGTGGTAGCTACTGCCTCTGCCAGTGTCCACGCGTATTTGAGAAGCTGCCTGTGCTGAATCTGCAACGGTGTCAGTTTGCTTGTACATGGAGATAGGTCGCAGCTGTTCCACGGTCAGAAGGCAAACAGGGATCTCCAGAGTGGGATCGATCTCGGGAAAGCCAGACCAGTCAAGCACTGAAGGCATATCATAGCCTGAGCACCGCAGTGACTTTATCGCCTTGTTCTTTTTAGCCCAAGGCCCCGCCTCCCTACTTAATCAAGTAGGTGCCTACTTAATTAAGTAAGGGAGAAGCAAGCTACTAGCTACTTAAGCTTCTAGGTAGGATGCAGGATAGCTCACGCTTCTTCAAGGAAGCTCCCCCCTGAGGGCGGGGGGAGCTTCCTTGAAGAAGCGCTCGCACTAATGATTTAGTTATTGGTTCCGAGATTTTTCGGAAAACTTAATCTATAGTGGCCTGGCCGCTCAAAACTTTTGATATAAATTCCTGTATAAAAATGTACAGGGAGAACTGGAATGTTGTCAGACTAATCAGCATGCAGGACTGTACGGTTCTTTTCAAGGAACTATCAGTGTAGCAGTTCACCACCGCGTAGAACTCACCACCGTATATGATTGTTGTGACATTCCAAGATACTCCAGCAAGAGTTACCTCAGTCTCTTCAGCATCGGCACAGAATCTTCTGAAACCACCAAAGGTTCACAAGAGGTTTATCTTGTCTGGGCGCTGACTGCACGCGGCTGGATGCTTTGTTCTTTTGAAAAAATACAACCCACCATTTTCTGCACGTAAGCCATTCACGGCGCTCTGGAAGTACATAAACTTATTCCAGTGTAGACCCCAAACAGGAAACAAGTCGCGGAAAACAGCCGAGAAAACAGCAAAAGCATCTTTGAAAGGATTAAGAACCCCTCGCAAATAAACCTGTTTGGAGAACCAAAGCCGCTAGAGCTATCAACATGCTCAACAATCAGAATGGGCAAAACAATTCGCAAATGTGTTCATGGCTCATTCGATGTGTTCAAGTGTATCTTGCTGACAGGAAGACATACACAAACATCAAAGTGTATCCATGGCCGTCGCCATGGGTTTGTCAACACCAAGCCCATTTGACTCACCAAAGGCTCCAAGTCATTTGGGGGCAAGAATAGTGACAGGGTCATTGAAGCCTCTAGAATAGATCGTTGAATCATGACTCCCACACATGTGCCACGATTATCTTTCTTGATCAAAAAAAGCTGATCCCAGGGCCCGCAGAGCCCGCAAAGCAAGCCGCAACCTTTGCCAACAATCATTCTATTTTGGTTAGCACAAATCTCTTTGGTTAAGTGTCTTGGCTGGACGACTATCCTCCTTGTGTTTCTTCGGTCTTTTGCCGTCTTTTGCCCCTTCGACTGGAACCTACCCTTGTTCGCCGGTTGTTCTGTGAATCTACCAAATCCTTTTCAATGCTTCCCTTCTTACGCAAGTGTCGATATATTTCTTGTATGAGCTGTCCACCTGCCTACTACATCTGAACCTGCCTGGCCTGGGCTCGCATTCTTACGTAAGGCCTGGCGTTTTTGTTTCGTTCCGCTTCTTGAGGACGGATCACCTGGGCTTCTGAAATGTGCTCACGAGCGGAAAGAAATCTAGGAGGGTACCAAATGGCATTGGCGAGTCACGTCCTGCGAGTGTTTGAAGTAAATACAAAATAGATGTTTAGAAAATAACAACGAAGATAAAGTAACAGTAGTAAATACTGAGATACAGCAAATGCAAGTGAGAGTGAAAACAAGCGATTCAAGCTTAAGAGTACTTTGTTACGCTTCATGGTATTCATGGCGTATCTGTGGCATGTGCCAGAACAAGTCTTCAGCTGGACCACGTGCTCTCAACAAAATACGCGCGGTGTCTAGGTCATCGCGAAGTATGTGCCCAAACGCTTGGAAACAATTTGATGCTGCTTGAAAGGCTTCAGGGGCTCAAGATTTATAGTTTGCGCCCTGTCTATCTGCAAGCCTCTCAGCTTCCAATCATCACATTCAATGGGTCTGTTTCCTGTTGTGTCCTGGGGTGGGCCAAGTAACAAGGCCGGGAATTCACGAGTCCAGTTTGACATCTGCAGGTGAGCCCGGTGAGCCCCTCCAGGTTGGAATTTCTCCCCGGCTGCGCATGTGAATCTGACATACTGCGCGCGAAAAGTGCCAAGGTTGCTTCCTATTGACCTATTGACGTGCAAAAAAAGAACTTCCAACGAGGTACAATGTTTGGAGGCGTCACAATCACTGGCTCTCCGGGATTGAAGACAAGCAATGCATTGCCACGCACAGTGATGGCAACCTTGAACAAGGCAAGGTAGGGGAGAACGAGGCATCAACTTGACCCTGGTGATAAACAGCTGCTCACCCCCTGTTGACTTTGGGAATTCACTCTCAATAAACCCATGAATTAAACCGCTGAAGGGCACTTTCCGCGGGTCAATTCCAATGTCTCTCAAGCCATGGCAACCAAAGATGCCAACGAAAAGCCATCATCTAAAAAATACTTAAAAGATCTGGATGAGCCCAAATGTCGACATCGCTATGGATCCAAAACGACTAAAAATACCTGCAAATTTGCATAGGCGGCCACTTGTTTCTCAGTCCATTGTGTCGCCAATACAGGGTTCATGAATGTACTGTTTCAAGATGCTGCTGAATACTGCACCCAAGCAAACACTTATTCATCATGAATCCACTTCTATGACGTATTTGATTTTGTGTGCGCTGCAGTTTTGACGATAGTGAGACCTGCAAACAAGCAGCCGTGTAGGCATCCAAATTTGTCTTCTTGTCCGAAATGCTCTGATCGTTCGAAAAGAACCACCTGAGAAAAGCAGGAAGATTCTGGACCTTTGAAGCAGTGCTCGTTGGAAGGAACATGCTCAGTATGCAGCATGCTACCGGACTGCAGAGGCTATATGACTCTGAGTCGCAAAAGACTCCCCAGGTGCAACTGCTAACAAGCTGCGGTGCAGGCCGGGACATTTGGAACGAGTAGTTAAATGTCCTTGGCTTCATCAATTCTGCGTTTGGGGATCGTGGCCCTTGCTGAAGAAGGAAATGGAGCTACAGCAACTGTTCAGCAACTGTTGCCAGCCGCTTACATCGCTATGCGAGTCTCATCCATGCAGCAAAGTGGCACAGGTGCATAGCGCAGCAACGGATTCATTTGGACGAGCATGTTTCTGTTCGCTCCGCTGAACAGGCCTCCATTCACAGCTCCGTGTGCGTGTCTGTGTGTGTGCACGTTGGAGTTATAGGTTGTCGTTGGACTTCTAAGTTCTGTTGATTTTAAACCAGGGGATAGCAGAAGATCCCTTGGGACTGCTACCAACAAATATGCCAATTTGATCTGGTGATATCAGAGCTGGCCACTCTGACGTGCCGCTGCCTGCTACAACATGTCCATGGTTCGTGCTCAAACAAAGGTGTCAGCCCTACTTCCGTTGAGTCTTGAGGCTGGTTAGGTGGAGCTGGGTCGGGTCACGCATTTCTCGACCTTCGTGAACTTTGGCCTGGGAGCTACTGGTAGCGTCCTTGCTCCTAGTAGCGATGACCTTGTTACGAGTAGTGTCTTGTTCCTAGTAGTAAGGCCAGGAGCTACTAGCGTCGTCCTTGACCCTTGGAGGCTTGGGAAAATCCGGAACCTTTGAAATCAAACCTTAACGGTAGTAGCTCGCTCGCTGCAAAACAAAACTGATCTCCGGAATGTCATCTCTTCTTCTACCGAGGTTTCGTCGGGGCTGGGGTGGTACACGGCTCATTTTGGAACCTAGAAACGGCTCATTTTGGAACCTGGCTCATTTTGGAACCCAGACGAAAAGAAAACTCTCCGGGACTGCAGCGTGAGACCAATTTCGCGGCTCATTTTGGAACACGCATCATTCGGTAGTGCTTCGAAGGTAGCATTTGCTAGTGAAAATGAGTGTTTCGTACGAGACTTCCTCCAAAAGTGAGCCGCGGAAGTCTCCAGAACGAGCGTTTTGTGCGAGACTTCCTCCAAAAGTGAGCCGCGGAAGTCTCCAGAACGAGCGTTTTGTACGAGACTTCCTTCAAAAGTGAGCCGCGCAAGTCTAGAGAGAGAGAGACAGAGAGAGAGAGAGAGAGAGCGTTTCGCACGAGACTTCTTTCCAAGGGGAACCGTGGAAGTCTCCCGAACGAGCGTATCGTACGAGACTTCCTCTAAAAGTGAGCCGCGGAAGTCTCCAGAACGAGCGTTTTGTGCCAGACTTCCTTCAAAAGTGAGCCGCGAAGTCAGGGTCTCTTTTGGTTTTGCTCCGGGCTTCGCTCTTTTACGGTTTCTCTTGGTTTGCCTTAGGGGCTTTGCTTCTTTAGGATGTTTTTGGGTTGGACTTAGGGCTTCAATGGAGAGGGGCTTAGGCCTTCACTTCTTTAGTTCTTTTGGGTTTTGCTTCAGGCTTCACTCCTTTAGGGTTTCATGTGGTTGGGCTTAGGACTTTGCGTCTTTAGGATGTCTTAGGGTCGGATAAGCCTGCACTTCTTTAGGGTCTCTTTTGGTTTTGCTTCGGGCTTCGGCTTTACGGTTTCTTTGGTCTTAGCTTCGGGCTTCACTTCTTCAGGATGTCTTTGGGTTTGACTCAGGGCTTCACTTCTCGAGGATCTGTTTTTGTTTTGCTTAGGGTTTCGCTCCTTTAGGTTTTCTTTTGCTTCTTTAGGACGTTTTTGTGCTGGAATTAGGCCTTCACGTGAGGGCTCCTTTAGGATGTCTTGGGTTTCACTTAGGGCTTCACTTCTTTAGGGTCTCTGGTTGGTTGGGCTTAGGGCTTTGCTGCTTTAGGATGTCTTTCGTTTTCACTTTCACTTAGGGCTTCACTTCTTTAGGACGTCTTTGGGTTTGACTCAGGGATTCACTTCTTTAGGGCCTGGTTTGGTTTTGCTTAGGGCTTCCCTCCATTAGGATGTCTTGGGTTTCACTTAGGGCTTCGCTTCTTTAGGGTTTCTGGCTGGTTTGCCATAGGACTTTGCTGTTTTAGGATGTCTTTGGTTGTGACTTAGAGCTTTACTTCTTGAGGGTCTCTTTTGGCCTGCCTTATCGCTTCACTTCTTTAGGATGTCTTTGGCACAAATTCAACAGCATCTCTTGCTCAACATTTTGTGTTTTGTGCACATGGTCGTGGTAATTACGCGCTTTGGCGAAGCTGGGTTTGGTTTTGCTCAGGGCTTTGCTCTTTTAGATCTTTTAGGGTTTCGTTTGGTTTGCCTTAGGGGCTTGCTTCTTTAAGATGTTTTTGGGTTGGCATTAGGGCTTCAGTGGAGAGGGGCTTAGGGCTTCACTTCTTTAGTCTTTTTTCTTTTGCTTCAGGCTTCACTCCTTTAGGGTTTCATGTGGTTGGGTTTCCGGCTTTGCGTCTCTAGGATGTCTTTGGGTCGGATAAGCCTTTACTTCTTTGGGGTCTCTTTTGGTTTTGCTTCGGGCCTCGCTCCTTTAGGGTTTCTTTGGTCTTAGCTTAGGGCTTCACTTCTTGAGGATGTCTTTGGATTTGACTCAGGGCTTCACTTCTTGAGGATCTGTTTTTTTTGGCTTAGGGTTTCGATCCTTTAGGTTTTCTTTTGCTTCTTTAGGATGTCTTTGTGCTGGAATTAGGCCTTTACGTGAGGGCTCCTTTAGGATGTCTTGGGTTTCACTTAGGGCTTCACTTCTTCCGGGGGGTTTGTTTGCCTTAGGGCTTTGCTCTTTAGGATGTCTTTCGGTTTCACTGAGAGCTTCAGTTCTTTAGGATGTCTGTGGGTTTGACTCAAGGCTTCACTTCTTTAGGGTTTGGTTTGGTTTTGCTTAGGGTTTCGCTCCGTAGGGCCACGGTTTCTTTTGGCTTGGCTTAGGGCTTAGGGCCTTGCTTCTTTAGGATGTCTGTGGGTTAGACTTAGGCCTTCACCACCACCCCCTCAAAAAAAGAACGCTTCTCAGAAATCAGCCCCCAGAAACTACTTCCCAGAAACCACTTCCCACAAACCACACCACTTCCCAGAAACCACTTCCCAGAAACCAGCCCCCAGAAACCACTTCCCAGAAACCACTTCCCAGAAACCACACCACTTCCCAGCAACCACTTCCCAGAAACCACCCCCCCGAAACCACTCCCCAGAAACCAGCCCCAGAAACCACTTCCCAGAAACCAGCCCAGAAACCACTTCCCAGAAACCACACCACTTCCCAGAAACCACTTCCGAGAAACCAGCCCCCAGAAACCACTTCCCAGAAACCAGCCCCCAGAAACCACTTGCCAGAAACCACTGCCCAGAAACCACTTGCCAGAAACCACTTCCCAGAAACCACTTCCCAGAAACCACTTCCCAGAAACCAGCCCCCAAAAAACACTTCCCAGAAACCACTTCCCAGAAACCACCCCCCAGAAACCACTTGCCAGAAACCACTCCCCAGAAACCACTTGCCAGAAACCACTTCCCAGAAACCACTTCCCAGAAACCACTTGCCAGAAACCACTTCCCAGAAACCACTTCCCAGAAACCACTTCCCAGAAACCACTTCCTATCCTCGGGAGACCATTTCACCCGCGTTCCGAAACAAGACGAATCCAGGTTCCGAAACGAGACGAATCCAGCTTCCGAAACGAGACGAATCCAGGTTCCGAAACGAGGCGTCGGCCTTGGGTTCCCGTCAGCGTTCTCTCTTTCTCTCTCTAGTGTGTGCGTGTGTGTGTGTGTGTGTAACCCTTGGAGTCACAGGGATTCCTTTGAAATTGTTTTGGTTTTGTTATCCTTTCTTCAACAGGCAGTGCCAAGGACCGTGCAAGTCTGGCACTAACAAAGGCCCTTGCACTGGACTGTGATGTCAACTCGGGACGCCGAGTTGACGTAAATGCATTTGAACTTTGAGAGCCTAAGTATGGCAATAGCTGTCCAATACGTTGTTTCTGCACTCAGTCTTGCTGCAGTAAAGGGCTAGTGCATCGGCGGCTCAGCTTTTGAACTTTCGTGGTTGGACTCTGCTCCAATTTTGAGGTTTTCGGATTGTTTAACTTACCTTTCACCTGGCTTCTTAGGCTTTCATACCTAGGTGGGCGTGTGGCATGTGGCATTCGGTTCCGTACACAATATCTCGAGTGTGCCTGGCCTCATGCCAGCCCAGGGTGACCCCGAGGAGTGCCTCCTGTACACCCGCCGAACGGGTGTTTGTCGAACGTATCCCCTGCCCGGATACAAAGCAGTCCGCAGCGGACGGAGTAGGCTTGTGTCAAAGTCATTTGCCGAGACCTGATGAATTATTGAGTTTGAGCAGGCTTACTGCCAGAACGTGACTGCAGCGGCCCAAACAGGCTGAACGCCACAAGGTGGTCGCAGCGACCGAAGTTTTTCTTAGGTTCATTGGAACCGGTCCTCACCTTAGGTGCACACACACAGCGCGTACATTCCAAACCAGGCCGGTCTTCCTATAGGTCTTTCAATTGAGGTTTGGTTTCATCGGTTCCTGCCCCCTCCATTTGGTTCCCCTTTTCATCCTTTCCCCCTCACACACATCTTCTTCCCTTCTTTCTTGCATGTCTTTCTGCCTTCACGTCTTGGCATCTCATCCCTTCTTTCTTTTGCGCGCACATTGGTCCAGCCCTTAGTATGCACATGCACATCTACATCTACTTCAAGCCCAGGTTTCAGGTTGCCCAGGTTTGACAATGAGGTGGGGTTCATTGTTTGTCCCTGTGCACTTGGTTCCTCTTCATCGCAACCACGTACACTTTTGTTCGGTCTTGTCCGCTTCTCATATCTTCATCTTTTTGTCCTTGCTGCGCGCACACATGGACATCCATCCCAACCTTAGTTCTTCTTGCCTCCCCTTGAGGGAGGCGCGTGTGTGTAACCCTTGGAGTCACAGGGATTCCTTTGAATTTGTTTTGGTTTTGTTGTCCTTGCTTCAGCAGGCAGTGCCAAGGACCGTGCAAGTGGCACCAACAAAGGCACTTGCACTGGTCTGTGATATCAACTCGGGACGCCGAGTTGACGTACCTGCACTTGAACTTTGAGAGCCTAAGTATGGCAATAGCTGTCCAATACGTTGTTTCTGCACTCAGTCTTGCGCAGTAAAGGGCTAGTGCATCGGCGACTCAGCTATTGAACTTTCGTGGTTGGACTCTGCTCCAATTTTGAGGTTTTCGGATTGTTTAACTTACATTTCACCTGGTTTTTAGGCTTTTATACCTAGGTGGGCGCGTGGCATGTGGCATTCAGTTCCGTACACGATATCTCGAGTGTGTGTGAGCAAACATTCACAGCACCGAATTGACCAACTCAGAGAAAGGATGTTCATTGACCAACACACCAATTGGCTCTTGAGGTGTCACTTTAAACTTGGCTCTGTGTAGCCTTACACAGGCTTACAACTGTCCAACTGATTCATGGGAAAGATGGTGTGAGTCCTCTTGGCTACTTCCGGCCTTTGTTGAAAGCCACGTAGGGAATGATCTGGAGCGCAGTGCTTCCTTCAGTCACCAACTATCAGGTCCCCCACATCCACAAATCAACCTTCTGCATCCACTACCAAGGCCTTGCTGTCGGAACAAGGAAGGCGGGATCATGCAGCCAAAGCTGATGTTGTTCAAGTCGCACATGCCGGTGCCTTATGTGTTTTTCAAGTTCACAGCATGCGCACACCGGCGGCCGTAGTCGTCACACCAGCCGTTGACTATCATCGGGGCAGTCGATTTCGATCTTCCACCCAGTAGTCACTGATCAACCACTGTCCAAGCGGCAAATGCTCGTTATAGACATTCCAGGCATCTGGCTGAGAATGTGCTCGGTAACCATCTCCTCGGTCAATGATGCCAGAAAGCATGAAGCTTTGATCTTGAATGCATTTATTCTGTGCGATGTGTGTTGCATCTGCATTCTATCAAGATGTAATCAGGGATCTAATTCCTGGACTTGCCACCTTGCTGGACTTACTGTTGCTTTTTTCCTTTCAAGAAAGTTCAAAACGAGATGCTGGATTGGGGCAGCTTCAGAACACTTCAGAACATCATATAATCTGTCTCCATCCAAATCATGAGCCGCAAAGCCCAAACTTCAAGCCAAGCCCTGTTGGGCCCAAGTGCTGAGCCCCGAACCACACAAGTTGCATAGAGAACTGGATCAGATTCGCACAATGCTGGCCCACCAGATGCGAGACACCAGGCTTGAATCGATGGATCTGGATCAGGAGTGCCAGTGGTCAACAGATACGGCCTGCAAGTGGTCAGCAAGACTTGCTGCAAGACTGCAAGACCATGTCCAGAAACAAAGATGTTCAGAAACAAAGACTTGTGGGATCTCGCAAGTCTTTAGAAGCGCAGGTCAACCACGCTCCTTCGGATCAACAGAGTAAGGGCAGCACCAAGCATCCAGGGGATCAACGTTGACCATCAGAAAAGGTGAGTTGCTGATGACTTCAGAGTACTGTTTCTGAAATGCAAAGATCGCCACTGCCTCGGGAAGCCGGGCTGAGTTCACCCCAGGACAGCGCGAAAGCTGGGTTGGGATGCATCCAAGCCACATAGGCGATGATGGGCAAATGGAAAATGTAATACAACACATTCAGCTTGGGATTGTCAAAGGCCACCTTCTTTGGCACCTCAATCCCGTCGCCCAATTGCAGAAACACGGTCCCAAATGATGTAAATGCAAGGAACACGTGCAAAATGTCGACATTCGTAAGAATGCCACAAGTTCCTACGGTTTCTTTGTCGTGGAGCACAGCCCGAGTTCTGCACCGAGAGGTGTGGAAGCCAAGAATGCCAAGCCATCTAAAACAACTCTGGAATCAAACGATCAGCAGCTTCTTGTACCCTGCTCTTTGCAGAAGATTATTTTGTTGGCTGGGGGGTGGCACCCGTGCCCCCAAAGAAAGGAACATGCCTTCTATACATAATGCATCAATATACAAGGGTAAAAAGCCATATGAGCCATGTCAAACCTCTAACCAATCAACTCTGCAGAATTAAACAAAAAACACCACTAGCCCTAAATGGCCCTATGATGCTGTGAGATTCGACAATAGCATTGTGAGAATGAGTGTTTGTGTGCAGGCCATGCATTGAGAGGCTCCCTCCGAAGGAAAAAGCTGCATGCAGAGTTGTGGTTTGCCAGCTGCAAGCAAGTGAAATGTGCCCATCTATTTCTACACCAAGCATGCCAACACTAAGGCGAGGACCACCAGGATTTGTGCCTGTGTGCACTCTGCCTCAAAGACCAGCCACTTGAAGGTCACTATGCAACTTCAATATCATTCTTCTAAAGGTCCTTTGCACAAACACTTGTGCACGATATGCGCAATGGCTGAACTAGTATGGCTGCAACTACCGCTGCAAGAGAACTGCCGTAAGCCGGTTTGCGTGCGCGCCATGCATCGCATCTGTTCTTCAACAGGGTTGTTTTGGACTGCGGATTCCTTTCTTTTCATCTGCCTTGCAGTCAACCGATTGAAGTCTGCAGAAGCTACCGTGAAAATTTGCTGAGGTTGGCGAACACATTTGTCACCTTCACCTTTTCTCAACAACACATGATTTGTTTGTGGGAAAACAATTCTGAAAACATATGAGACTCCATTTGTGTGCGCGCGTGTACTTGGACACAGTGCTGTTGGTGGGAGGGAATGCATACAGGTGTAAACATCTTGTAGAAAGCTAGGTCACAGAGTCACAGAAGAGAAGAAAATGAGCTACTAGGAACAAGAAGCTACGAACGTAGCTCCTGGCATCGCTACTAGGAACCTGGGCATCGCTACTAGGAGCAAGGACGCTACTAGTAGCAAGAATGCTCCCAGGCCAGGAGCCCCTAGTGGCGTCCTTGCTCCTAGTAGTAAGGCCAGGAGCCCCTAGTAGCGTCCTTGCTCCTAGTAGCGATGCCAG